TTATCTAGTCCAGTCTCTCGCACAATTGTAGGCATATTCCAAGCTCCGCATTACAACCGAGCACCTAAATTGCTACCGCTTATGACTAACCACACCCTAAATAAACCTGTTGTCAGTCGTTACGCATCATTGAGTGCATCTAAACGCATTGAGATGTAACGTTCAAGTACTATAGGTACAGTCATTACCAGTATTCAAAAATATCGAACTGTTTAATAGGAATCAGCCATGTAGGGACACATTTAGCATTATAAACATTTTCAAGTTTAGCAATGGTACGCGCCCCGCGCGCTCGTTCCCTCATCGATCTAAACTAAAGAATAACGTGGACATTGCCTTCTAAAAATCCCGGTATTTCTCGAAACTGATTATATTTGAATATGCGTATTATTTATTGAAATTTGAGTACATTGGCAACAAATTGTTATTTCCTATTAAGTATTTGGTACAAATTATTGTCTCAAAAAATAATATTATATTTGTGTTTCTATAAGCATAGATGAAGAAATATTATTGGCACCGAAGAATGTTATCGCTTGGAACGGCTGATCCTTTCTGTTGCAATAGTGTAATAAAACCATTAACACTTCTTCTACTTAAATGCTTTTTCTGAATTCTCATTTTGAATTATTTCTTTAGTCGTCAAGTCGTCTTTTATTGAACTCTTTTCTTACTAATTCAGCAAAACAAGTACTCTTTTGTCCTATTGTACTCGAAACGTAAAGAGATAAGAAAAATGGGTGCAAATAATATTTCGTCAACTATACTTGCGTATTTAAATACTTTAGAGCGGTTACACAGGGCGACTTTTAGCAGCGATGCAAACGCGATGTCTACCTTTACACGCGCGCGACTTTAAGGGCCTATACACATGGCGTATTTTATACGCGCAGACGACGCGCAGAGGACGTGCTGACGACGCGCAGAGGACGTGCTGACGACGCGCTCATGACGCGCACGTTTGCAAACTCATACGCGCCGTAAACGCGTGTTGCACCCTCGTTTCTGAAACGGGCTTTTACGGCGCGTACTCTCAATAGTAGCACAATGGCGTCGGTCGAGATAACACTGCTTACGCTAGCTTTATTAGTGATTTTAAAAAAAGGTGAACGTAGCGTCTCCCCTGCCCCTTTCCTTAGTCTTGCAACGCGATGTTTGATTCGATGCCAACGCGCTTCGAACGCGCGTTTGTATCGCGTTTTACGCGCGTTTGAATCGATACAAACGCAACAATCTGCTTTTCGAACATCTAAGGCGCCGTAAACGCGTGTTTAAACTGCGTTCGTGAAAAGCGCGTCGTCTGCGCGTATAAAATACGCCGTGTGCATAGGCTTTTACTTTAAAATTTACTTTCTACTAATTCAAATTAAAGAGAAATAATTTTTTTTAAATAGTATTTCGGCTCTGGTGTAAAGTCCTATTTTTCGAGATACGACAAGATCGCTTTCCGGCGTCGATATTTAAAAGTGATATAAGACCCATTTGCCTGATGAGTTGCCAAGGATGGATGGACCTTATTTCGTCTCTATTTCTTGTTATATACTCGATGATTCCACGAACTTTTGAGATCGGTTTTTTTTATAAAAAGTTACTCTAGAATTATAGTTACTCTGGTACCTATAGTATTGACATATGGCGCTTAGTGGAGATTGTTCGCTTTTGAAAGCTAAATAAGATAATGAAAAATCACAGAAAATCACACCAATTATCTGATCTTACATCAATGAATTCCCTGTACTGTGATTACTAGAACAATGAAATTCACACCTTTGCACTACCCAGAACACCCAGTCCAGGACCAATTTTGAAAAATTAATTTCTCGAATTTGACCTACCGGGACTTACACATCCTGTGCCCACGGTGCAAACCATTGGTCCACCGAGGTCGTCTATAGTATAGTTTCATATTAGATAATTGTTGTGTTTACATACGGCAAAAAAACAAAAAAAAAACAGCAGTGTTTATTTATCTATTTACCTATTTATTTTTATACGACGTCGATATGGAATGTTTTCGTGTTTTAAGTTTAGTACGAAAAACCGTAGCAGTTTTCGTTGTTAACTGTACCTGAGTATAGCTTCTCTGTACAAGAATCAGTTTAACTCTTTTGATGTAAGTTATTATAGTGTAAGTAGTTTTATTTTAAAGTGACTAATGCACCAGCTGGCTCTATGGTGAGCATTAGATAAGGAATGTTTCTATAATTGGAAACTTGTATATGACCTATGGAAGCATAATTTAAACCAAGGTAGCTACTATTAATCATCCAGGTACAATGGGATAAATGTCCTATTATAGCTGGGTATTATAGCCTATTGTCATTTACGAGGTTTAAGCATGAAACACACAGAGAGCGGGTGCGGGTCGGGCGCGGTTCGGGTCAGGCCCGCAGCGGGTCTGAGTGATCTGAGAGGCACTACCACTGCGCCCGTCACCCTGAGACGTTGCTTGATAAGTCTCATGTGCCTGTAATTTCACCAGCACCCAGGTTTCGTGCCCTTTACAGGTCCCATGGTCACGGTTCATTATATATCAAACGTGTCTAGGAATCAACCACGTTGTTACCAATTACTGAAAATACGGTTTGTAATTTTTTTAAACACCAATGCCTTTTTTGGCCAGTTTTATTAATTAAAAAAATTAGTAACTAGATAAATGATTTCATAAATTTACATAGATAATTTTTACTAAATTTTATTTTGGTAAACAAATATTTTTTTTAAATCCTTAATCCCTAGACACTTTTCTTTTTCGTCTATGTATTTGTTTGAAAAAACTATTTAGATAAAAAAAAAATTCATTCGCAAAATTCATTAATTATATTTTAACACACAATTACAATTTTTTCTTTTTTTTTTCCAAGGAATAAATTATTTATATTTCTTCCAAATACACTACTGTAGTCTACGCTGATTATTATACAATAATTCCGCGATTTCAAAGGGAGATGTGCTTCTCCACTGTATATGTATTACTTCCTTGAAGGTTAACTAAATATGCTCACCATATACTGAGCATACCATATACCTGGCAATTATTTCTGAAAAACACTTTTATACGGTAAACCGTCGCTATAAATATAATCCTTATATCTAATCTATTAACTGATACCGACATATTTTCAAAGAAAACATCCGTTGATGAGTCATGTTTAGAGAATATTTCCAATCAAGTCACTACGTAACTTCAAAAAGCTTCATCGTTACCTCCAATTGACACTATGCCAATTTTATTTTTTGGTAATTTTCTCTTCTCTTTGTAAACAGCCATATTTATTTACTAATATTATGTTCCCCGAATTTTATGAAAAAAAAAAACCAAAATAAAACAAAATTCGGAAAAGAGAAACAAAATAAACACAGAACAGGTTGAAAAAAAATTATTTTGGCGTAATTTTCATCGGAGGGAACATTATAACATCTTTTTCGCTCTTATTGCACATAAACCGTTATCGTGCGTGTCGGATCCTGGTCGTGAATCCCTGACCCCGGCCGACTGTGTCATTAGGAATACCGCCTCTTTTATTCAGAATCTAAAATACGAGGTCTGTCTAAAACGTGTCCGTTTATATCGTTATTCCGCACTGGGTCTATTGATCATAATCCGGCTCATGGCATCCTTCAAAGTAATCTCCATTAGCGGACTTTACATAGACACTATCATGCGCAATTGAGTGCGAGTGTAAAGACATTGGAAGGAAAAGGGGTCTTCATCAGTATTTTCATAGTTTCCCAACTCCAACGCGCGCCAGTTTCACGCGGTCTATCCTACGCTATTAGCCTTTACACGGACGCTCTTTCCGTTGTAACAAAAACGTAAAAGCAATCACGCGCGAAAGAACGTTAGTTTAAAAAATTACAACATGTAATCGCGCACGATTGCGCGTCCAATCCTGTACACCTCCTGATGATGCGTGATAGAGTCTGTGTAAAGGGGGCTATTCGAATGAACAACACGCTCCACCTGCTTCTACTTCTTGGAACAGTTATGGCAGTCAGTTGTTGGAATAGCCTTTAGCGCACTCGGCGCATTTTTTGCTACTGGAAACATCACATCTGATGCTGACAGAGCTAACCTCTGATAGATAACAATGGGCCAAGTCAGACACACCCTCAAAGAAGACAATCTATGTCAATTCAATTGCCAACATAATATTTTCAATTTCAGGCGACAGTCTCGAAGAGCTCAATGGCTACGGCACTATGCGGCCGCGCAACATTATTTCATCGATCCTGAGCGGCACGCCCGCCAAGAATAAAGGCCTCGCCATTTCCAACCCACATGACTTCCGTATGGTAAGTACTTTATCATTTTCATAGGCGTCGGCTGTGGAACTACAGAAAATTCATGTTTAACGCCACATGGTGATCTGTGACATGGTGATCTATAGGTTTCCGCTCTTCTCTCGTAGATGGAGTTATATTATAATTTGACAGTAATTGTTTCGGACGGATGTCCGACGGAGATCGAGAGTAGACCCCCTGCATCCGATTCGTTTTCGTTCCGAATATTACGACTATACAAATCTAGTTTTTCGGAGAGTAGACCCCCAGAGCGCAAACACGCTAAGTTTTGTGGCAATCAAATGTTACTTTTCGTGATAACTGGGGACGCTGTTTCCATGCAATAACAATGCGAAGTATTTAACCGGTAGCTAGCGAAAATCAACAATGTGCACTGATGATGGAGGCATTCTGTGTCCGCTTTATGCAGAATCTCTTACTGTACAAGATGTCTTTTACATACATACATTTTACAACTAAAATTTCAGGTGTCAGCAATCATAGACGTAGATATAGTACCTGAGACGTGTAGAAGAGTCAAGCTACTCAAGCACGGCTCTGACAGACCACTAGGATTTTTCATTAGGTAAGATAAATTTAAGCTTCAAGCCGTGGTAGCCTAGTGACTTAACCTACCGCCTCCCGAGCAGATGGCGTGGGTTCAAATCTTTTCCGTGAAGGAAAACATCGTAAGGATACGTGCACACATCTGCAAAGTTATTTAATGATGTATGTGCAGTTCTGAGTCCCCGTTGAGCCCGCGTAGGAACTGCAGTCTTGTGAGAGAAGGCCTGCGTCTAACAGTGGGTTTATACATAGGTTGACTATTATTATTATTAATAAGATACTTTTGTTTTGATATATTAACACTATTTTGCGCACCTGCCCAGACGTCGACTTGACTTCCTTTATCTTTTGAATCCTCTTCCATCACCACAGTTTCAGATAATTCAGATAGAAGTTTGAAATCTTGTACAAAAATGGTTTAGCAGCAGTAGCGCTCTTTATGAAAGAGTAGGGCATAACTACCACTTTACCTATTTTTGTCACCAAGCAGTAAGAAGCCTTACTTCTTTCTTATAATTATTAATACAAAGGTACACTTAGAAAAAAATCCTTAGGTCCAGCTGGATTCGAAGATTCGAATTTCATAGATTTGTCATAGATACGGCTAAAAAGTCGTTGAAAACCAAATACAAAGATCCGACAACAAGCACATAGAAGAATTCGTGAGGTCCGCTGGTTCGTTCCATGGCTTAGTTGATATAGCGTCTGCCACGGTATGCTAGAAGACGTCGGAACGAATCCGGCCGGATCGAACGAAATTTTCTTAGTGTTCGATCTTTGTATTAATAATTATAACAAACTAGTGGAGTAATTTAAGTAATTTTTATGGAATAATAAAAATTTAAGCATTACTTCGTTCCGGTTTTGAAGGGTAAGGGTGTTGGTGAAATTACAGGCACATGGAACTTGCCAACTTACGTCTCAGGGTGACGGGCGTAGTAGTGCCCCTCAGCGTCCTGATTTTGGTTCAAAACGGAATCGGTCCGATCGGGTAGTCTCGAAATCAGACGGGTTCCTGAGCGAGAAGATGAATCTGATTCCTACTATATCTTTCTAATTTGTGAGTTAAATCAACTATTGGTCCGATTAGAAATATCAAAAGTTTCCGATCGGCCAGTTGTGAATCGCATTTATGGGCCTCGACTCGGAAAAGACGCAATTTCCGATCGGGAGAGGCAATCAAAATCAAGCTGCAGATCTTTGCAATTTAAAGCTCTGAGTGGCACTGCAACTGTTATGGACAGGCGTGTAGCTTACCATCAGGCGCACGACTTGTTCGCCCCTTCACTTGGTGTAATAAAAATCAGAATGTTTTACAAAAATGGTATCCCACTTCTTTCAGAGACGGCACATCAGTTCGAGTAACTCCGAACGGCGTCGAACGTTCCCCTGGCATCTTCATATCACGACTGGTGCCAGGCGGGCTTGCGGAGTCCACAGGCCTTCTAGGAGTCAATGATGAGGTGCTGGAAGTCAACGGCATCGATGTCTCCAATAAAACTCTCGATCAGGCAAGTCTTCGTTGTGTCAAGAGCATGTCAAACTCATACTTAAAATTTAGATTCAGCTTTTTCCCTTACGATAAGAATGGCCTACTTGATGTGTTCTTGACAGTTACATTTAATCTAAATGAGGTAGTCTTTATTTAACTATATTTATTAACAGTATTAACACATCTTAGGTTTTCGGTTTCAACCAGTCGTGATCACGGAACCTGTAAAGAGCCCGAAACGTTGGCTTATTTCGAATTTATGATTGAAATAATAATAATACGGCTCGCACCAGGGAAACCGTGTATCGCGGTTGCCTTGGACACACACATACACAGCCATAAGTTACGCCCAAATTTACGAGAGAAATAATGTAGGCCATACAAATATTTCTCCCTGCCCGGGAATCCAACCCGGGATCTTTACATGGCGGACCAGCTTGGCAAACTTTCGGCCACGGAGGCAATTAAATAAATTAATACAAACCAACATTTCGGTCTCTAAAGATGGCGCCGATAATTTCGGAATTAACCCCGGGACATTACCCAGAACTCTGAAATTGGAATTAATTTAGAAAAAGTTTAAAATTTCCGCTATTGTTATGAATTGGAAATTGTACTATTTTTTCTGATCTAAAATCACGTATAATTTTTTATTTCGTTGAAAAAAATATATACATAGAGTTAATTGTTAAATAAAATTGTTTTCCAAAACTGTTCTACCGAGACCTCGTCATTTAGTGCCTACGTTGCTACCTGTTGGGCCACCGAAATTGTCGATGGGTGGTTTGAGGGTGTTCTATGATTGTCCAATGTAGCCACCAGACTCAAGTAGAAGATGATGAGGATCTCGACGAGCTCGTAAAATTAAAAGACGATTTAAGTTGACTGTAATATATTAGCAATAGGTAGCTGGTTTACACGAGCAATTCCATTAATCGCTAAACAGTGGTGGTTTCTTATAGAAGTACAATTCAAAAGTGAACGGCCTTTTTGACCTTTTTGAGTTTTTTTTTTAATAACGCACACACTCAACATAACCTCGCACTGGGGAAACCCTGTGTCGCGGGTGCCATGGACACACTCATAGACAACCACAAATTACACCCAAACTCACGAGAGAAATAAATGTAGGTCATACAAATATTTCGCCCGGCCCGGGAATCGAACCTGGGACCTCTGCGTGGCAGTCCGGAATGGCAACCGTTCGGCCACGGAGGCAGTTCATACAAAAAATTCGTTAAATTGTGGTAGGGATGAAATAACATGTCAGTTGATTGGTTCAAAATAGCACCCCAGGCCTACGTAATGTGCCTCTGGCGAGCGTTTAGATACTGCTTTGAGAGTTATATTAAATTTAATTACAAAAATTTTTTTGCGTTCGCAACAACCAAGAAGGTGAAGTTCTCAATGTCCGGTGGTTACAGGTGACGGACATGATGGTGGCGAATTCGTCCAACCTGATAATCACAGTACGTCCGGCCAATCAGCGCGCGCCACCCCCCGAAACGCCGCGCGCCTCCACCGCCACCGACCCCCCGCACAGCGAGCCTGATGAGGACAGGTAACGACATCAACCCTCTATACTCATTCTCTAATGACATATCCTTCAGCGTAACAGAAACTTTCGAGGTTAAAAAATATTTAATAGTAATAATTATCTTTGCCTCTTTACAAGGGTTTTACATAACTAATCTTATAACTATACTTCGTTTTAAACCTTTTTAAATAAAAAGTAAACAAACAAGTCGCTGACTATTGGAAAAAGTGATGAGATATAAAGTCGAAATATACGTGAAAGTGTTACGTATTCGATGTATTGAGTGATTGCTTTAGAATTATAACCAAACAGTTTTGTTTACTTTTTGTTTAAAATGGATGAAAGACTGGAGTCTCGATCTCCAGTCTCCCAGTAATGAGTATATTTACTTATAGTCTGTCTTTTCTTTTGAAGACAGATTAAAATGACATTGCAGGGTTGTCAATTTTCATAAAATTTTAAGTAGTCATCATTGACTTACAATTATATGGACGTCGGGTCCGCGCTAAAAAGTGTCCGAACTTATAGGGCGTTAAAATCGTATACAGAGCGTCATTCACGCTTTAGTCTTCGTTTGTTCGACTGACAGCGAAGCAAGCAAAATTAGACAGTACTGCGATGACATTACAATTTAAATTCAACGTTTTAGCTTTTTCATATTATATTTATTTGTAAGTCAATGGTAGTCATGTAGTTATTATTTAAATATTCAATTATAGTATCGTGTAATTATTAAATAGTATTGCACGATAATAAAATCGAATATTTATATAACAAATCTTTGCCACTAGAATTAGGTAGTGAATACTAGTCTGCCTGAAAAATCTATATAGAAATTCGACTACCGAGTTAATAACAAAAGTCCCCCGCCCACCCATCATCCGCGCACTTACTGATGTCTGAACTCTACAATTTTACAAAGAATTTTTAACAAAACGAACATAAATATGCATTTATAAACATATAAGATAATAACTAAAACTCTTTCCAGGTTCGATCAAGACGAACAGGACGAAATAGTGGATTTAACAGCAGTTACACTTGAGGACCAACCGGAACAGAGCTTCACTGTGCCCGTGAAGGACGATGGGCAAGTTCTGCACCTCTAGTACATACTTGCTCGGTACAGGAAGGCCAGAGGTGATACAGACTATACTGAACAATATAACCTAGATAAACGGAAGAAATAGGGCCTTAAATGTTAAGCTGAAGGCAACAATAGTTTTTTAAATGTATCAGTATAAAATAGGTTAAGGAAAAATGAGTCCGACATTTATATACGGTACCCTAAATGCAGCGTCAAAGTGATCAAGTGTCAAGTCAATTTAACGGGAAAGACAACCTGGTGACATTGATGTTCTGTGTTACTGGTTCAATGTTGCTGTTTAAAAACCTGAAGTGTTTTCTACCTTTCTCGGTTAACAGTCAAAAAGGCTTTTAGATTCAATGTGTTATTAACAAAAGTCGAAATAGGCAGAAAAAATTTACTTACATTAAATTACAATAAAAAACAAAACAGTTATATTTCTACTTACAATTATGGGAAGTTAATTTACTACGCGGAATCCGATCTCTGATAATTAACAATACTCTTAAACTATACAGAGCATGTCACACTATGGAAATTTAAGTTAATAGACATTTACGCTATTGGGCGTAATATATCAAAAAATATTAGATGAAATATAGTCTGTTCCATTTTAAATGAAATGTAAACAAAATTGTTTGGTTGAATTTCTAAAGTAATCACTCAATAAATCGAATAATTAACACTTTCACGTATATTTCGAAGATTTTGGCTTGATATCTCAACCAGGAACCGGAGAAAAGGGGATAAAAAGGTGGGATGACGATGTAAGGAGGTCACATTGTCACAACTTTTTCCAACAATATTCATTTGAATAAATTGGTAAAATCGTGTTTGAAAAATGGTAGTTAAAAAGTGAGCTTATTTTTTAATTAAAGATGTATGAATATGGTTTAAACGAAAAAAACATTCATAATCGATTAATGAATCGAAAATTTCAATCGCAATCGAACGAGTATCTAAGTGCAAGGATTTGAGGGAAGATTTAAAATTTGATTTTAAATTCTCCAATTTAAAAAAATAAATGATTTTATACGTAAAACATATAGATTTATTCAATCAATTAATTTGGCAGTAAAATTTGCCATCACTAAACCGTCTATGGTCGGGTCAGTAACTTGTTTGTTTATTTTTTGTTTAATATGGATTGGAACGTAGTGTAGATAAAAATGAACAGTATCTCAATTGTATTCAATTAAAATTGCGCCTTATATCTGTTGCAAACAAACTCGATATTTGTCGAATATATTCAAATGTTTTTATACACTTATCATATCGATGACATACATTATAATGCTTGCCATCGTGATAAAAGGAATCACCAATCGGCGTAATGTACTCGCCGATCGCCCAGGTTGCGCTCGACATACAGAAAAAGAATGGTACGTCGTGCGGGGAACAAGCTGAGCATTTTGAACACTTTAAAAGAATCATTTTGACGCTGAATTTAATATCAAAGCAGACTAGAAGTCTTGGTGTCGTTGATGTCAACGATGAAGTTTCCCTAGCGGCCGTTTTCGGAACTAACGAAACGTGGTTATAGTCATAGTCTATGGAATATGGACAGTTACAAGGTATAAGGAGCTAAGTGTCACTTATAATAATAATGTTCCAGACAATGCCTAATGTTGCCAGTGGGGCTAGTAAGAAAGGGCGCGACTTGCGCGAGAGCGACATAAAGCGTGATATAATGTTTACCTCGCATAGAAATGTCGCGCTTTATGTCGCGCCGTATAGTGCTAGCTCTACTGTCTCAAATTATTATTTTTCGTGTAATGAGTACTAAATCAACGGAATTCACTCTGGGGCACTTCCCAAAACACCCAGACCAAGGGGTCTACTTCCTTTCTCCGTCTTTAAATTACTGTGAAATAAGTAATACTCGAAAAAATTTAAAGATGATGCGAATGAAGCGTCGTACTTGACATTCTCTTTTGATTTAGTGATGTCTTACGGAGAACAGGAGTAACTCCTTAAACCAATTTAGAAAAGTTCATTTCCAAAATTGGTGCTACCTGGAATCGAACCTGATACCTCCTCATCCCGTGCCAACAGTGCACACCGTTGGGCCACCGAGGTTATCTTTTGTTCTTATGGCTGGTTTACACATACTTAGTTACTAAGTAGATTACAATCAAACCTATTTTTTTACGAAGTAGCCGACCCTCCCACCCCGCGCATTCCCCAGTAGGCGTGACTCGAACTTTGAAGCATTTGGTCAAGCTGGCCATCTTCTTCAGCATGTTTATAAAAACAAATTTTTTACTATGAAATTATCAAATCGATACCTCCCGCGTAAGTTGTTGTAAGTCAAAATACAATTGTTTGTTTTTTCACTTAAATATATCCATTTTATGCATATGTCAGTGTCATGTTTACTTTCAAACATGGATACCATAATATTCATAAAAAAAGGATAATAAGAAATTGTGTTTTGACTTGCAACAACTTACGTGAGAGGTATAGAAACTTTTACAAGAAATTATTTTATTAAGAAATGTGTTAATAAAAAACTTTATAATGAAACTAAATTTGTTACAAAAAAATAATTAACTTATTTTTATATTTGTTTTTTATATAAAGCTGTATTTTAGAAAAAAAAATTTTTAGACCCCAATTTTTTTTAAATCTATATAGTTCTTTGTCTCTTCCACTACTTGACACTGGCCACGTTTCAGAACGAAGCTATTGCCATTGTAATAAAGTTAAATACTGCTGCTAGGAAATCAATTCGTTGCCACTATCGTGAGATCTCCTTTTCCATAGCTTCGCCTTAATTAATCAAAGCTTATGATGAGCTTCGTAAGGGTTGGGCCCCATTTGTACAAGCCTTAGAATAATTTTCAGGTTAGATTTCTTCAACTAATTTCAGTGGCAATTTTTATTATTATAATACTCTGAAAAGTGCTATTTAATATTCGATTGTAGTATACTAAAATATTGTTTAAGGTTCACGATAATATACTCCAATACTTGAATAATAAAAATCATGCCACCGAAATCAGGTAGAGAAAACTAACTTAAAAATTACCCACTAGACGTGTGTTTTTGTGCTATGGTGTTAACAAGTGGGACATTAGGCAATCCCATTAGTGTCTGTTTGGTTTCTATAGCTTTGGTTTTGGTTTTATATGTTTCTTGGCGAAAATTGTACGCTACTATTGTAGCGCTGAGGCCGCACTTGCGTCTATCGTCACGTAGAAATTCGTGCGGAAGCTTCGTATATTTTGTTCGCTAAAAAGTTATGGCTCTAATGCGGTGGTCACACTAGCAGCGTTTTAATTTTAAATTATTTTTTTTTTATGATTCCAAGTGACGGGACGAAGAAGTCATGCGCCTAATCATAAGCGACACGCCTGTCTATAGTAGTTGATATCTTAGGCGCCAAATTGATACAAATGTGAACACGGCTTTCACTAGTTCTTGCGATTAACGCATTCACTAGCCTAACGCAAAAAATTATAGACGAAAAACGCATGTGACTAATGCGACATCAAGTGCACTGGGTACCCTGGTGTCCCTCAGTCGTTGACTTAAGGCGCATTTTCCGCCTTTAGTGATCTCGTACACACTTTAATATAAAGCGAAGCAATGTCAGAGTACAGCGTGGCCATGCGAATAGGAACCCTACGGGCTCTTCATAATACTGAAAATAATGTAACTCAGCCTAGAGAACCAATACATTCCAATAAATGCCTTATATATTTTGCACAAGTGTCAAATTATTATTACTGCTATTACATAGTGCCTAAATAACTATTTGTATTGTAGAAAAAAATCACTGTACTTAAAATGCATATCAATTTTTGATACATTTGGCTCAAGTAATCAATTGAAAACTCTATTAGATATATTATGGTGACATTTTATTAGTGTCCTTTAGCTGAAATAATGATGTATTTGGGTAAGTTTTCAGGTTAGGTTTCTCTCCTCGTTTCGGTGGCAATTTTTATTATTGAAGTATTCGAGTATATTAAAGTGAAATATTAAATAAGATATCAGGATACTACACTCGAATATTAAATAACACTTGATAATTTTCTAGAATATTATAATAATAAAAAGAGCGACCGAAATTAGTTGAGGAAAACTAACCTGAAAATTACCCATTTGAGAATAAAATATCAATATAAACAAATTTTACTATAACAAAATGACAAAAATGGAAGTACCAAACGGCTACACGATTACTTTTGTAAGTGTAGAGAAAACTAACCTGACAATTACCCATTAATAAAAATGGAAGTAAGTTACTAATTTGCAAATCGCTGGCTATCCATATATTATAATCGTAATAAAACATCTTGTGTAAAACAGCTAATATTACTTTTGTCATTAGTAAAAATTGTTCATATTGATGGTAAGCATGATCTATTAAATTAAAGGACAGTAGGGTAATTTTCTAGTTAGTTTTCTTCATCTAATTTCGGTGGCAATTTTTATTATTATAATATTCTTGAATATTATCATGAAGTGGTACTTAATATTCGAGTGTAGTATCCTGAAAGATTGTTTTTTTATATTTCGCGAAAATATACTCGAATACTTGAATAATAAAAATTGCCACCAAAATTAGGTAGAGAAAACTAACTTGAAAATTACCCAATAATAATTTATTACTCTTTATAGAGCTTTTGGTACATACTCGCAAAGTTTTGGGAGGAACAGTGCAATGAGCGGTTTTAACGTTTAATGACGTCTAATTATTCATATGTATATAGTCATATGACACCGAAATTCGAATTAAAACTACGATGATAAAACTGATTCTGACCGACTCAAGCCGATTTCAAGTGTGGTGATACTCGAGACAGCCACGCCACTACAAATTTTCGTACAATATGTAGTTTGCAAAAGTGGCGCGACTGTGGCGCTGCAGCTGGCTTCTAAATATTGTATGAAAATTAGTAATGGTGCCACTGCAGCGCGCTTCTATAAGCGCCCTGACATTTTAGTTTGCTTGTATGTATCTAAAACTCTTGAATAAAAATCACAATAATTTTGTAAATGTACTTATCAATCTAGTATTAATAATCAAATTATTCATTCCAATTTGAAATTTATTTTCTTAAATTACGGACAATAATTTAAAATTAAGTATAAAACGGTTTAAACTTAAGTGTCAAAAAATCCATCCATTTTGTTATAGCGGTAGCCAGTTTTTGTTCCAATCTTGTTATGATAATATGGGTTATATTTTTTAAAATATTTTTCTGTTTTTGCTGCTTAAAAATGGTGCTTTTCTTTCTGCAGCTCTGCCTAAAAAACTTGTTTTATGAGTTGGTGACCGTATACCAGACCACCGGTGGCCATGTTATAGTCATATTGATCTTGGTCTGAACGTGTTAATAAA